AAGCACTGCAAGGCGGTAATTAGCGTGAGGCTTGTAATGCATTCCCCAGCCAGAAACACGGGTTGCTGTGGTCACTGGAGTCAGAGAGTGTGAAAAGGGGCTGGGGGGGGAGGGAGATAAAGAAAAACAGGTAACAGCGGGGAAAACACAGTGATATCCTATTTAAGTATCAAATATTCACATGATTACCACTATCAACTGAACTGTCAAATAAGTATTATGGGAAAATGGTGATTAAAAAAAAAAATTCCCAATAAAATAATCATTGCAGTGGAGAGGATTAATGATGCACAGGAGATACCTCTGACACAAACGTGTACTTCCTAAATCGCGTTTGGCTTCATTTTGATTTTTAGAGAAATGATGCATTTAACATCCTGTCTGCAGATGATACAATTTTAAAACGCAACCACAACACCACAACAGCAATCTAAACCCTTCTTCTATGTTCTGGGAAGCTCTGTGCACGGCTCCCATTAAGCTTACCGGTAACTGCGAACTGTTAACATGCCTTAGTGTGGTTTCAGCATTCCTAGGCAAGGCTAAGCAGCAGTCAGAAAACAATGATATCCCCAGGCCCACACTGTAGTTTCTCAAGCAGAGATTAAGCACGGTATTCTGCTCAACAAGCTCATCACTGTTAAGTAACTCATCAGAAAATAAAGAAGGAATTATCAAATGGGAATTGCCAAGTAATTAGTTCTCTGAAGCAGATGACATACAACTGTTAAAGGGAGGGGCTTCCCTGTTAGTCATATGTCAGAGTAGAGCCTACTAATCTGTAAATAAAAATGCATTTCATATGATTAGCGCAATGGGTTTTTAACCACTAGCGGTACATGAAGAATTAATTTGCAACTTTTTGTGCTGTAATAAGCCAGTGAGATTTTCTCCCTTTGCATACAATGAGTTTTCCAACACTGCCGATTGCCTGCTGTCAGACTGCCTGGGGACAGACGGCCATGCAGACAGGCTGCTACCAGGGAGGGGACGTGCTCAAGGGCTGGGGAGGAGGGTAAGTGCATTTACTATCATAGTAAGCGGAAAAGGCACTCCCTGCTCAGCTGCTCCACGTGACACTGACAAGGACGGCACCGACGAGAAAACGTTCCCTGGCACACAAATTCACAGGGATTAAGCCTGCTTTCTGTACTTAGCCTTCTCTGTTAAAGCCTGACTTTCTTCAAGAAGATCATCTCACAGAAACGTTCAATTTGCAAAACCTGAAGGGCCTTCATGCATGGGTACCTGACAAACAAAAATGTGGTAACGCTCACAACCACATTCCAGTACAAACAAGAAACACTTAAACTTCTCTGCTTTTTATAGACTGAAGAGTGAGCCAATAAACCCCTAAATCAGGCTTTCGGCTAGTCCCAAACAGAACTGCTCACTGCTAACTCACCAACAACTAAAGAAGCAATTACCGAACACACCAAGGGTAAGTGGAGGAGGGCATGTATGATGCTGAGGCCGCACAGAACTACAGATCAGGGATGGCAATCACAGCGTTTTGACCCTCAGCATATGCTCCGTTTCTAATATTTGCCCCATCAGCCAAAATATCACACTATAAAGTAATGCTAGCACAGGACAGATCTCCACAGCATATCACAGAAGGTGAATCAAACCTCAGGCACTGGCTTATATCACATTACCAATGAGAGCCTAGCACTTCCATCTAGACAAGTCACTGCAGCCAGCTCTGTTTATATTTCAGACAGTGTTACAAAACCTCCAGTCAATCTGACATCGGGCTACAGCAGCATCTGCTGAGGAAACAGCAGAGCAAAGTCAGGGCAGGGCACCACGGGGGTGATGGGGTAGGGCTGGGGAGGTGACCAGGCCTCATCTCCAACATCTGACACTGCATTCACGTCTTTTTATTCAATTTATCACAGAGTTATTCACTCAGCCACAAAACAAACAATTTAAAAAAATTAAAATGATTTCTAATTACTCTCCAATTATACCTAGTTCATATCATCATTTCATTTGTGCTGTTAATGTGCTCACAGTCTCCACCGCTGCCTTCTTTTAGCCCTACAGCCATTGCAGGCCCTGATAAACAGTGTAAGAGGGAGGAAATAAAATCAGCCGTGATAAAGGAACACCGATATGGCAATCAAAAAATTGCCTTTGGACACACTAATATTGAGACCGATTACCTCTTTCTACATTCAGTAAATAATATTTTAAGAGGACAGACTGCTGTTCATTTACAGAGAGTGGCAGCCAAAAGCCTGTGCAAAGCACAGCTTAGGCCTTCTGTACCTAACAGGTAGTGTGCAGATATACTTATGGAAAATTCAGCAATAAAAATTTACAAACAGGCTGTGGCTGCAAATTCAACCCGATACTACAACATGATTAATAGATATCAAGTGACTCAACAGTGAAAAAGATTGAAAAGAACACTCCAGTTATTCAAACATCCAGTGCCTCATGCAAAACCCTCTCGACACAACTGCTTAAAAGAAAGCATTGAGTCATTTGCCTGCGTGGAAGGAGGCAGAGCGAGTTCTGAACAAATAACAATAACTCAACATTTTTTAGCTCAGGCTAAAATTAACTGAAGTCAGGAATCACGGAAAAAAAAAAAAAAGCCATATCTCAACACATGTGATTTTATTTTCACTAATCCCAGTGTCCTCATTCAGGCAGTGAGCTCTGCAGACTCTGCAGGAAAGCTGCTTGAAGCCGAGCAGCAGGCACGCCTCAAGCTTACACACCGCAGCGGCTTCACTCCTTGCAGCCACACGCCTCCTTCTGTGAGTACAAACGCACGTGGGGGGGCACCAGGGCTGAAGCAGAGTCTCTGAGCTCTGATACTGGAGGTGCCAGGTGAAATAAGCATGCCTGATGTTCCATCCCTCGGACAGAACTCGTGGCGATAACCTGGGTCTGCACAGAACAGAGCAGGGCTGCTGATGCTTCACCCCCCCCCGCCAAAAAAATGTGAGCGCTGGAAAAGATGCTGGGTCTGAGCATGCAGTGCTCGATCTCAATTCATGAAACCTATTTGTGGCTGATCACTGTGCTGCTCTGGGTCATGTTTGTTTCACGTGTTACTACTTTTGAGTTCCCTTCTGTTAAATCAAGCACTTGTAAGAGATAACGCTTGTAAGCAGGCAGTCGCTATCTCAGTAACTTTCTCTTTACTCTTACAGTAGGACTGATTTTGATCGATCCCTAGAGAAAATAAGCACTAACTAACAAGGCCAATAGAGGAACCCACGCTCAGCGACTGAGACAGCACGTCCAAGAAAAGGAGCTGAAAAAGATCTGATCTGAAGGCCAGAAGACAACGCTGCATTTCAAACTGCACTGATACTGAGAAAAAGCAGCACAGTCCTGCCCTCCTCTCACGCTGTAACCGAGACAACTGCAGCAGACTTAACTAGGTTATTTCTTCTTTAATCCAAACTGTTCCCAACACGTAACATACTTTTTCTCATGCCATCGCAGGAAGTGCCAGATGCTAAAATATTCTAAGTGATTTAGAGATACATTGCGGGTAACTCACACAGGATTCAACCAATACGCTTTAAATCGTTTCTTCTAGTTAAGAGATAGAAAGCTGTCCTGTGGTAATTGTCTGTGCAAATAAATACAACTTCATAAAACCTGTGCCAGTTCTGAAATAAATGAAAGGTTTTGTGGAAACGTCGCTGTCATAACAGAGAGCTCCCTCCTATTTGATCTCCCGAGCCCACAGCAGCTACCCAGTCAGTTCTGTCCCAAAAGTGAAAGATGAAATGTGTCAGTGCACAGGCACTTGGGCTGGCTGTTCAACCAAAAATCTCCTATTGCTCTGAAGGGGCATAGAGCCCATCAGTCCACCCCCACTACTCCAGCTCATCTGTAAACCCTAAGAGGCATGTCTTTACATGTAACTGCTTGCTCAGACAACTTCCCTTTACAGCACAGCACCCTACCCCACAGCCATAATAAAATATAAATTACGTGCCACACACCTCTCTGACACGCTGCATATATTAGAAAGTTATTCTGCAACAGAGGCTTTCTGGTCAACCCCTCATATGTAGAATGCTATAGTAATGGAGTTTTCTGGCTGCATAAAGGGGAAAAAAAGCACCTTAACTTCTGCAAGTAATTGCTGCATTTAATTTTCTTTTATTTAGAGACATCACATTTTCTTATGACTTTTTGTCTTTTCTTTTTTCCCCCCAAAAAAAGTATTAGTAGCATTGCCAATCTGAAGCACTCAAAAATCATGAAACAGGTCCAGAAAACCAAGCTGGCTTAATGACAATCAGATTAAAGAAATAAAATAAAAATTTATGTTCTTTTTATTGGCAGTACGATTGTTGAGCCCTTAAACTTGGTTCTTTCAAGGTATTTCCCCCAGCCACACAAGAAGGAGAAGTAAGAAAGAGGAGAGGGAGCTAAGCGTGCTACTCCATCCTGTCTGGTTCCAGAACTTCGGGGAAAAAAGTCAGAAGAACTGAAAACATTCCTGAAACTGGAGTAAAAGACACTCGAGCACATCACTAGTGACCAGCTATCTGGGAAGCATCCTCATGCCAGGCAAAGTTAAGTGCTTGAGGGGAAAGCACTTTTCAGGATACTGAAAAGTCAAACGAGCTGCAAGGAACAAGAACTGCTAAAAATGTTCACAAAAGCACGGGGAGGATTTATAATAATTATACTTGTGGTATTAACCAACAAAAAAATCAAAGACTGTAAAACTTTTCCATTCGTGCTACAATCTTTAGTAACTGCATATACTCTGACCTGAGGTATACATAAAACCACTCATCTGGAACCCACTGTCCTGTCAGTCACCCAACTGAGTCACCAGAGCTAATGGAATTTCTATGATGAGTTTCTCCAGGACCTCTACTGCCAGGCACGGGAAGTACAGACGTTGTGCAGGTAGATAACGGCACGGACTGCATTCAGGTGCCTGTGCTGACCAGAACCTGCTGCAGACAGCACGTGCTTGTTAGACAAAAGAAAAGGCAGCACTTTCTCACCTTACTGACAGCGCATCTCTGTACGGCAAAGATGACGGTGAAGGTGGTCACTGTCCTGCAGGGGTCAACGATAAATTCACAGCTTGTATTGCTCGCCCGTCTGGCTCGGCCTGCGGCGTGACTGGAGGTCCCAAAGTTGAGGAGGTGGGAGCCAAAAGAAAACAAAGCAAAAACACAGGTAAGACTCAAATGGCAGCACCCTAAGACACTCTAATGAAGCCTGAGCGGTTGCTTTGCTATTACTCAAGCACAAATAAACTATAGATTCAGTCTCGCAGACAGCACACATACAGCACAGAATGTAGCCCACATATTCCAACAGAGTGCTCTTTTCCTACATGTGATCTTGACGAGGTGAAGAGCCATAAGCGAGTCGAGGTGACTTCAGTGCCAGCAGAACTGGCTTGTGCTGTATCTGAGGAGGGGCACCACTCAGAATACTGCTGCAACTGCTGCCATTGGGTGAATGCAGTCAGCCAGGGGAACGTGGCATTACCTTGTCCTTAACCGCAGCACATTAGAGCCAGTGCACAGTGCTGCAAATGCTCAAACAACGTAAACAGCAGCCAATGCTACCAGCATGGTTCTTTTTCTTCTATTTCTGAATTTTCTTCAGTAAAAATACTGAGAGCAACAGCACTGACATTCTGTTGACATCACATATTCAACAAAATATTTTTTTTTCCCCCCCACTTGGAATCCTACCAAATATTTTTATCACTCTTGGGACAATAAAAGGATTTAGTGGGACCATTTCTCCCTCACTGAGAAGCACTTTTGTTGTTTCAGTTTATGAGCACGCTGACTCGTCCCTACCCTATTTATGGAAGGATTTACACACATACTTAACTCCAGATAGATTCTTTAATCAATCCTCATTCAGCAAAACCCTCGCTGGGACGTGTACTAAGGCAACTTTGCAGACTGGGACCAATACACGCACACAGATTTGCATGTGTTTCAGAGCCATCTCAGACTCCAGCTTTTAGGGGAAAAACAGAAAGCATCCAGCATTACCCTCTCAGTGTTTGCAGGGGGATCAAAAAGGAATTACAGCCACAGATCCAGTTTCTGCCTTTCCACAAAAGTTGGGAGACTGCAAAGTTTCTTCCATTTAGAAGCATCCATCACCAATCAGCTAAGCCAAAACCGTGTAAAAAAACTTCAACTCATAAAAAAATGCAAACCACCGAACAAGATGCACGTATGACATCAGATTCCAAAATGCTGTGCCTCTGACCGAGTAAAACCGAATGAGATCAGGATTTCTGGCTTGCAAGCTCAGGCTAAGCATACAACTTCCTACAGAGTACTCACTGGAATACAGCACCTCGTTTCAGCAAACTGCAGCATTTACCTGTGCCAAGCCTGTCAGACTGCTGCCTCTTCAGCTAATTGTGTTGGTATTTGTTACAGCAGTCGGTACCGTACCTCCGAGGAGACCTACAGCTCCATCTGCCACCCGAGCCGTGCAGAGCACCCAGACCGTACCTGTGCAGTCCCCACCCAGCCTTGTGTGCCCACCAGGCAGCCCTGCCGCACAGCCCTGCACCCAGCCAGCGCTGCAGCCCCTCGCCATTCTGTCACGCGTTTGCTTTAAGCCCCGCTGCAGTTCTTCATCGCGTTTCCCCTCAATTAGCACACCACAACAAAAGCCACCGCCGCACCAGCAATGACAACGACAGTCCTCGCTGCCCTCTACTCAGACGTGCTGCTGAACTTCAGCACGGGGAGAACCAGGCCTTCGTTTTGCTCTGCTAGGCATGGCACTGAGACCATTACTTTCACATCCTAATGTTTAAATCAGCAGTTGCTTTTCAGGTGAGCACATTTAACGTCTATTTTCTTAATTAAGATGAAACTAGGCCACTGGATCTATTACATAAAAATGTTGGTGAAGTGAAATTCCAGGCCTCTTGTAAATGTCTCTTAAAACAAGACCAGTTCCTTCAGCCTCTAAGTAAATCAGACCAGGCCAGGGAGAAGAGCTGCGTCTTGTACTTGCAGGAAGTCTCTTAACTACACACAAACGGCCTTTTCGAAGTAACTGTTTTGCTGTGCTCTGTCACACGGTGAACTGCCTCTCCATGGAGCACGTCACCAGCAACACCGGGCACACAGTGGCAGCTCGACAGCAGCCGTGCTGTGAGCGCTCACCTTCTGCTACCACTCCTCTCCACGGGCTGCCCTCCTTCCAGCCCCCTCGGCACGCAGAGGAAGGCCGTTCCCACCAAAGGCAGGCATTAGGATCGAGCTCCGGGCACAGAGGGCCGGTCAGCACGGCCCACGGGCTGCCTGAGGGCTCCGGTGCTGCACCGCGCCGGCAACTTCTCCCCACCGAGATGTGAAACGCTCCGGGCTGCGCTCTGTAGCAGCGTGGATGCACGTGCGGTTAGCAATGGGAGTCATTCACCGCTCTTGCACGTGGCTAACGCGGCTCCTCCAGGGGGCAAAACTCCCACGGTGCTTTTTGCCGTAGAAAGATATTGGAGAAACGATGGCTCAGGCAGCGGATCAGCGCCTGAGCTCTGCTACTCTGCTCTGTGCCTGGCCGGGGTCCAACAAGCGGAGCTACCCCAGATACACACCGTGTGCGCGGCTCACAAGCAGCCCCTGGAGCCGCTCCAGGCCCACGGCATTAGGATCGAGCACCAGATTGGGCGCCTGTGTGCAGGCAGCGGGGGGGAAGGCCGGCATGAGATCTTCAGTTCAGCGCTCCCGGAGGGCGGCACGCAGCGCGGAGCTGCACTGCCTGCTCTGTCACGGCGTTACGCTGTCTGAGGCGGAAAGTTTCCCACTCTATTACTCTGCTGTATTTCAACGAGCACCAATGCGAAATAAAATAAATCGGAATACCAGCAACGAGTTGTTTGCCGATAAGAAAATCTTTATATCGTACGCCCCTCGGTTTTTTTTTTTTTAACCGAGGGAGCAGGAAGCCAGCCGTCCCCCAGCACACAGCTCCTTGCTCAGTCACGAAGCACCGGGCATTCCCACCGGTAATGTCACGGCTAGGCGCGGGACGGCCCCGCGGCCTACGGCGGACGGGCGGGAAGAGGGGAGCAGCGGCGAAGTTTTCTCGCGCCCGCAGCCCCCCGAGCACCGCCGCCCCTTCCTCCCGCAGTCCGCACGCGGCACGGGGGCGGCCGGGCGCACGGCGCGCGCACACCTGAGCGGCCGGGGCCGTCCGTTGCCATGGCAGCGCGCTCACATCGCTCGGCGGAGCGGGGCCGGGCGGGTTCCGGCGACGAGGGGCTGCGAGAAGAGCCCGGGACCGCGCGGGGGAAGGGCCGGAGGCGCGGCGCGGCGATCCCGCGGCGGAAGGGCTCGAAAGCGAAATTAAAAGCCTTCAGCGTGCCGCTGCACGGACGCGCTTTGCCCCGCGCACGGAGGGGCTCGGCGTATCCCCCCGCCCGGCTCGGCACGGCTGCCCGCGGAGCGCCTGCTGTGCAGCCAACGGCACCCAAACAGCCGTGGCTCCCCGCGCCGAACGGCGCATTATATAACGGCTTCCGACTCGTTTGCTCCTCCGTTAGCGCCCGGCGGTAATTCCTCCTCTGCCGCCGCTCCGTCACGTTATTATCGCTATCACAGCGGGCGCTGACGTTTCCCAGCGCCTTTAATTCAGACTTCGGTACCCCCAGGAATCGCGCTCGCGGATCGCGGCCCTACCGGGGCTGAGGGGGGGATATCGAACAACACCGACCCGACCCCGAGCTCCGGTCGGCGCCGGGGCCGAGCGGCGGTGCCCCGCGGCCCTCCCTCCCGCGCTCCCCCGGCGGCGGTACCGGGCGTTGTCCGCGGGCGGCCCGGGCCCCGGGAGCGGCGGCGCGGGGTGGCCGCCGGGCACAGCCCCGTCCCAGCGCCGCCTCCTCCTCCACCGCCCGCTCGCTTCATTCACCCTCAGCGGCCGCCCAGCCCCTACTACATGCGCCGTGCGGCCCGGCCGCGGCCCCCCCGCTCCCACACACACACACACACACACACAGGGGCCGTGTCAGCACCCCGTCACGCACCGCACCGCCACACACACACAAACGGGTACAAACACACGCCCCGCAAAATGTCCACCGCGGCCACCGGCGGGGTGAGGAAGAAGGGAGGAGGAGGAGGAGGAGGAGGTGGAGCGAGAGGGCCGTACGAGCCCCAGGCCCAGGCCGCTGCCCTCGGCCATGTCGTGGCCCCCGCCCGGGCCGGGCCCTGAGGCTGGGCCGCAGCGCTGCCCCCCCCGCACACACGCACACATACACATATATACACACATACACACGAACACAGCCGCCCCCGGCCCCGTGTTTTTCCAGCCGGGAACCGCGGGTGGCTCCGCAGCCCAAACAAGGGGAGAAACCGGGGGGGAGGAGGAGGAGGAGGAGGAGCGGGGGGGGCAGAAAGCAGAGGAGGAAGAAAAAGGCACTTACTGTAAAGTGTCAGTGGAGGTGGGGCTGGCGGGGGGGTCGGACCGAGACTCGCGCACCGCCGTCCTCCCGAGGTGGGGGTCTGTGTGTGTGTGTAAATGTGTGTGTGTAAATATGTGTGTGTAAATATGTGTGTGTGTATGTGGGCTCCTTCCCCCGCGGGTACACGCTGCGGGCCGCTCCGCCGCTGTAGTAGAAATGATGTCTGCGGTACAGCGCTCGCTGCCGCTCCGCTCTCCAGTATGTAAATGTGTAATAGAAGCCAAATATGGAGCAGTTGGCTGCCTCTGCAACAGCTCAAGGATCCTACTTCACGCGAAAGCCGGGGGGGGGGGAAGGGGAAGGGGGGGCAGCGGGGAGGAGGAGGAGGAGGAGGAGGAGGAGGAGGAGGAGGCAAGGCAGCACTCTGGCAGGCGGCCAAGAGAGCCACACAGATTATTGCATACGCGCAGCACCGCCGGGGCCGGCGGCCTTAACCCTTTGGGGGCCGCCTGGGGCCGAGTCGCCTTCCTCCCCACCTCTGCGCTCCCCCCGCCCGGCCGCTCCTCGCTCCGACGCCCGCTGCGCCGACAGCCGCACCGGCGGGCACCGGGAGCGGCGCGCTGCCGAGCGGGGAGAGGAGAGCGGGGCGGCCGTGCGGGATGCGGGAGCGCCGGCCGAGGCCGGGCTGTCGCTAAGGGAGGAAATAAACGCGCTCCAGGGAGCCGGGGACGGCTCGGAGGCAGCGCCGTAGAGTCAGGGGAGGGTGATTTTATTTAAGATGCCATATTGCGTTTTGCCTTGGAGAGCTGTGAAGCTTTGTACAACAGGAGCCCGCATCCCACTCCCGTTTTCTGAATTAGTTTTATTTTTCCGGATCCTTGGCGTATGCTCGAGTCGCTTTGTAGAGAGTACCTTCCACTTCATTCAGACCAAAGAGGCTCTGACTCATTCCGTCGCCGCACTACGAGGCAGGCAGGGCTGCACCACGCATGTTTGGGTACTCGCTCCCGCTGCGCTCCTCGCACACGCTCCGGCAGGATCTTCGCTCGTCTCTCCCGGCTGCGCGCAGACCACTGCCCGCCTCTCCCAGAATAAATGAATGGGAGGAACACAGCCACAGGACAGCGTCTGCTCTGCTTGCTGGCAACCCGACTGCTGCACAGGGAACGGCTCGCTCTGCTTCGGCATCAGGGTCACGGCACAAAATGCTGCATAAGCCCCCAACCCTGGGTCTCACCCCAGAAGGGTTCTGAGAGCACCCTGCGTGCTCCCTATGCTGTGGCTGTCCAGAGCAGGCTGTTGGCTGAGCATCTTTCAATCCGCCCCCAGTACAGCTATGAGCTCCAAGCAGATGTCTCTAGTGCCAATGTGTACGTGTGCGTCCACAGGTAGTAACACCGTGTTTTAGCATTGGAACTAGGATTAGTATGGATGCAAAAGACCCTACTGCTCAGTCAGTATGCAGCTCAGCAAAGCAGTCTCTTCTATGAATGACTGTACTCATCCTCCGTACTTCCTTGAGAATGTGCTAATCTGCACAGCTCTTGACTGAGAGCTGGTGCTGTCATATAGACCGGCTTTATGAGCATAAGGATATTTTAACAATGCAACTTCTACCTCTCCAGATCAGGTTCACTACATAACCCAAAGCGACTGCCTGTTTCAGAGCGCTCTGGGGACAGCAGCAGGCCCCAGCAGGATGTCTGGACAAATGTGCCACTCAGCAATGAGATGGTGCATCTATGGCCATGTGGCAGACAGCAAAAATATCCTCACCCAGCTAATGCAAGGTTCATTGATTTAATGAAAGGAACCATGGGAGAGAGGCAGAGGCTGGAGACAGCTGGAAATCAAGCGAAGGCCCCGCAGAAGCTGCTACCCCATCCTTTGCATTCTGTTCTGCAGACACGGCATTCTTCCTCCTGCCACCTTTTTTATTCCAGTTGTACTCCTGTTACCTCAGGAGAAAGGAATCTTTCCCTCTCAAACCTCCACCTTGCCAAGAGGTGTGGCACACGCCGTGGAAGAGAAGCCACATTCATGCTGAAGCAAGTTTTGGGCAACTTTCCCTTCTGCGGCAGACTCATGTAAGAGGCTTGTGTGTTCCTCCGGCCTGTGGCCATGGTGTTTGCCGCAGGACCCACACTTTTTGCCATGAACCAGCCTCTGGCTTTTAAATCTTTGTCCATGTTTCTGCTTCAAAGTTGGAAGAGCATGTCAGTTGTAAACCAAAGCAGTATTTTTTCCCAGCAAGGCAGCCTCTGCCCATGTCCTGGGGAAGTGCCATAACTGCAGGCAACCACATTGGGTTCACAAACTCACCTTCGTTTTGACGGTGGTTACATAACAGAGATAAGGGGACAGTGCCTTTGCTGGCATTGCCCGGTGCGCAGGATGCGCTTCCACATCACAAGATGCCATTATGCCTCTGCAGTTCCTCTTCTGAAGGCCTGTGGCAGGGTTCAAAGCATTCCCCCAACAGCGAGCATGGTAGGGGCACCAAGGGTGGGAAGCAGCACCTGAGCAAGATCTCGTGTGCTGCCATGGCCAGGACAAAGGTCCCTCACTGTCTATCAAGGCACTGCAGTCTATTGACCCAGACGTGCAGAACTATGCCAGAGGTGAAAGTCATTCACTTCAGAAAATAGACACAGTTGCAGACCAGGACAGTTCTGACAGTAAGAATGGAGACAGGCACTGTGGCAGTGCAGTACGTGCAGATAGGGGCTCCAGCACCACAGTGTGAGTCGGACACAGGAACCCACTCGAGCAGTGCCTCCTGCCAGTAACATGCTGAAACTGGTCGGACTCCCACTTGAACACGTTCTTGACCAAAAGACAGTCATCAGTTTGATGTGCAGGAGGCACGTTGTCTAGGAGAAACTGTCTTTCAGTGCACTGATGTCGTGCCATCAATGCGCATGCTTTATGTAATTAGTATCTGCACAAAATTGGAAAATAAGAGGTAACATAAGTTGGAATTATTGTTTTTTTTAACATCCACATTCAGGGAAATCCAGTGATTGACGACACGCTGCATGCGAACAGTGATTTTACAATTAAAAATCATTACAGTCTAGGACTTCAATTTGTCATAAAACGACATTGTTGGTCTCATTACAGCCTCTAGTGGACAGTAGTAATCCACCTCACCGACCTGTCATACAATGTGCTCAGATGACAAGTGTTATCCCATGGCAAGAAGGATTTCCCAATATAGTCAAAAGTTTGCTGGCATCGCTCTGAAGGTGCCTTGCTTTATGCTTCAGGTATCAGTGCTGGCTCGTAAATAAACAGAGAACTTCGCTCTTGATTTCAATCTCAGACAGCTTTCATAAAAAAACCTAAATTAATCTCAAATGTTTTTATAACAGAAAATATTGGTTGTCATGTTTTTGGCTTAAGTATGATGTTTTTATTCCAACTCAGGATCTGCAGACTGTCCAATCCACCTCCTCTCTATTTATAGCCTGCTTGCATTCAGATAATTTTTGCAAATGCAGTTATTTTCATTGTTATTTCAGACATAGGCAGCTGATTTAAGGTATTTTAACAGCTTTAACGAATGAGAAACTGTAATTTGGATTACAGCTGGCTAATTAAGGTATGCTTTCCTCCGGGAAGTTAAACATGTACACGACCTGAACAATAACATATTTAGAATGTATTCTTTAACTTGAAGTGCCTCTTGTGTGAGCACAATAACGCATGACTAACATCTTCATTTTTCGTGTATTCGCCTAGAAATGAGTGCATCCCTGTCAGAACAGGGAGGTTGATGATGGCCTCCAGAACTCTTAGCTGGGACTGTTTTCAGATGGAAGGAAATGGGAGTGGAGAACCAACGCTGTCTCTTTAAAGCCACAATTATCTCAGACAAATTAACAGTTAGTGAAGCCAGAGCCAAGTATTCATGAAGACTAAGCAAGTATGTAGTACTACACTTCGACACAAAGAGAAAACTCTATGGTCTAAAATGCTGAAGTCCTTTGCAAGTGAATTCAAAGGAAAGGCTGTCATTGATTTCTTTACTGCACCCCTGTATGGGCTGCAGGGTCACTGAACAAAACATTTTTGTCATATCTTGTCAGATAGATAATATGATATCAAGGTAAAAAAAATGCGTACCTCATCATTGCCTTGTTTTTTATAAAGAAGCAGTCAAGTTCTCCTTTAAAACAACAGCTTCAATGGCTTTAAAATGAAAATATCTCATTCAATGAAGACGTGACACAAGATGCTTTTTTGTTTGGTTGGTTTTGTTTTTTAAATAGAGAAAGCAATTCATCAAGGTAACAAAGCCTGATGACTCCTCTGAAGTCTTAAAATTGAGACAGATTTCATCTTTTGAATATGTTGT